CAAAAAATTAAATGAGGTTATTAAAGTTGTTTCTAGCCAAAAACACCTTGAAACCTTCAATTTTTATGAGTAGATTATTTAGGGCATTTTTTAGGGTTATTAAAGGTATTTCTGATAAAAAACGCCTTAAATAATCTCCATCAATTATTATTGAAAGCATTTTTGGGTAAAAACACTTTAAATAATCCCAAAAAAGTAGGGAATGGGATTATTCAAGGTATTTTTTGTCAAAAACGCCTTGAATAGTCCTTTCTAATTTTTATAAAGGTATTATTCAAGACTTTTTTTTTGTCAATTTCGTTTTAAATAATCCCTTTTCATTTTTTTTTGTCAAAAACGTTTTTGCCCAGAAATGCCTTAAATATTTTCTTACAAAAAATTAAATGGGGTTATTTAAGGTATTTTTTGACTAAAAATACCTTGAATAATCCCAAAAAAATGGGATAAGATTATTGAAGATGTTTTTGACTAAAAAAACACCTTAAATAACCCTATTTAAAACGTTTGTAAGAGATTATTCAAGGTATTTTCTAACCAAAAATGTTTTGAATAATACCTAAAAAAATGAGAGGCGATTATTTAAGGCATTTTTCGCTAAAAATGCCTTGAATAATATCTTCATAAAAATTAGAGAAGATTAATCATAGGATTATTTAAGACATTTTCTGACCAAATTTTTTTTTCATTTTTTCATGTTTGTTTAATGTTCACGAACAAGCTTGTTTAATTTAAACGAATCGAACACAAACAAATGCAAACATCATGTTATTTAAACGAACTAAGCACGAACACAATTAACAAATTTGTTACCAAGCTCGAACAACTTTAAAAATAAATGAATAAATCACGAACATATATTTCTTTGTTCATGTTCGATTTATTTATAGTCCTAACCAGCACCTTACGCCACTTTTACAGCTAAATTTTAGCTACCACTACCCTTGTTTCTAACCTGTCCTCTCTGATTTTTCCCTAGTCGCTTGTTTGTTTCCTAGTCCTTCTAAGAATCTCAAAGCTTTTCATAAGACTGAGCAAATAATCAAATAGGAAGAGGTCGATTTTGACACAAAAAAGCTCTACCAAAAATTTCTTAACTCGCCCCTACCATAGTCCACACAATTTTTTCCACCAAAAAGCCAGACTCCCACCACTGTCAATCAATCGAGACCAGTTCCATTCGACACACCTTAACCATTATCATAAAGATACCATACAACAACCCACAGCCCAATCACCATCAAAATCCAATTTCGAAACTGCAACCACACAACAAATTCTCTTAACTCATTATCTCACCTACTGTCACCACTTACCCCACCATGAACAGAGCTCCCACCATTTATAGCCCCATTGAGATAACCACCAAAACTACTAATAACTAAAAAAGAATTTACAATCCCGAAACAAAACCCACCCAAAACCTGTCACAACTAAAAACAAAAAATATATATATCACATCCCCTAGGAAGGAAGAAATAGTGCCAAAAAGCCATTAAAAAAAAGACATTAAAAATGGCAGAGGTAAAAAAGCCATAGAGTTTCAGTTTGGGTAGCTCTAAAGAAGCTTTAGGGCTCGATTTTTGTTAAGAAATACGGAATTGAGCAGTAGAAAGACATACTAAGAGAATGACCAGTTTGAAGTGACAGTGACAGGTATTGTGGAACTTGACAATCGCGACTCATGGCTCAGATCTAGAAGATTCTAGAAAGTTTCTAAAAAATCCAAATTGAAAAAACAAAAAAAGACTAAAAAAAAAAAGCTAGAGAACAAATTTTGGAAGTATTCCAACACCGATTACCCAAGGCGAACAATGATTAGTGCGGTGGTCGATTACTGAAAACTAAGCTAGATGGAACTATTGTCTCTTGTTTGAATAAGATAAGTTTTTTTTTTTTATTTAGAGAAATGTTGGAATGAATCTAAAAAGAAACAAAAAGGTCTTATAGTTTAGAAAAAAAGCACTTAGCATGTCAACCCGACCTGCAACCCAACTTATTCTTGTTATCCAACCCACGTTTGCTAGCCGAACTGCTTCAACAACCCAATATGCCTAGGCCTATTTTTGGTGACAGCTAGACTTTAAGTGTTTAGGCTTTGTAGACCTAAGATTTTAGGCTTCAACATCAAAATTGTATTTGGGTATACATTTTGGGCTTCTTATTTGAATGTTTTTACATTATTCATGTCAATAATGTTTTTTTATTAAATATACATGTTTTAAAATAATTAATAATACTCATAAAATAAATATTATGGATAATTATATATTTTGTGAGAATTTCTATTATTAATTGTTTAAAAAAATAAAAGGTTTATCCAATGATAATATTCTAAAGAAATCTGCATAATAATTCCTTTGAAATCTAAATTTTTTTAAATACCACTAATTTATTGAAATATTTATAAAAAATTTTCAATACAAAAAAGTTTATTTTTATTTTATAAAAAATACTTAAAATGTGAAAAAATAAAAAAAATTTTGATTAACAAATTTTCTTTAAAAAACCAAATAATTTATAAATAATAATAAATGAAAATAAAATAAGGTGTGCATACCTATGCATAAATATTATGTTTCATTTTTTGCATTGCATCTATATTACTCAAGCTTGGAAAAATAAATGTGAAACTTTAAGGATAGGATTCCAAGAAAATCTAAATAGTGATTCTTAAAAAATCTCTAGAAAAATTTTTTTCTTTTAATATTACCAACATCCTTAAGCATTTTAAAAGTTTTCAATAACAAGGTTCTAATTTAAGAATAATAATTTTGTAAAAAAATAAAAAAGAGGAAATTTTTTTTGAAAAAAAGGTGAAATAATAAAAAATAAAACTAAAGCAAAAAACCAAATTTATGACAAAATTGTGATGAATGAGTAAAAAAAACTAATTCTAAATATCAAATTTCGACTACTTTTGTCAAGATTAAAGAAAAACACATAATTAGTTAATACTATTTTTGAAACGGGTATTGTAGAGATGTTAATTATTTCTCACGCGTAACCATACTTTTGAACTCAAATTATTTTTACCAACTCAAAATTTATCTTTTAATAATTTTAATTAGTTTTAAGATTTAATTAAAAAGTTAAATCTTAATAAATGATTAATTATATTTAATTAAAAAAATTAGTGATAACTTTTTATATTTTTAAATTCGTCTAACAGTTAAGATAGTGCTGGCAATGTCATGTGACCTTTTTGTCTATTGTTTGTTCAAGTGTATTCCTATTTCCATCAATTATTTCTGTCCCAATAATAGCACCCACATTTTCAGGCTATTTCTTTGAAAAAAAAAAAAAAAACAATGAATGATTAATGTATGAATGGCTTCGAATTGTAATGAAATATTTAATATAATATTTAAATTTAAAATTTTTTTAATATGATGTATGAAATATAAATTTATTAATTAATATAGTATTAATTTTTAATATGATTAATTTTAAATAATAATATATTATATATAAACAATTTTTTAAATATCATATTAATTAATAAATTTATAATTTATATTTCATATAATAAATTTGTAAAATTTAAACATTATATTAAATATTTCGTTAATTTATAGTCATTCTTAACCTTAAAAAAAAAAAAAATCTATTGCAAGTCTGACAGGAATAGATTCAGCTTGCTTTTTCTCTGGTTGTCCCTATTCCAACCACGTGATAATTCTCATAATACTTTATTCTAAAATTTATTACATATGATAAAAATTAATAATAACCACTGAACTGGATGGATTTGGTACTGTAGGTTTTTTTGTTTGTGCTTCCCACAAATAATTTTTTTAAAAAAGTATTTTTTAATTTATAATTATAATAAAATTTTATATTTATATAATCAATTATTATATCACATAATTAATTATTATATTTACGAATCAATCAATTAATTAATATGTTCCTTACCTTTAATATTATTAACTTTCAATGATAACACATGATTAATATTGTTAACTTTAAATGATAAAATGTTATTAATAAATAATTTTTTAAATCTCACATTAATTAATAAATTTATAAATATTATATTAAATATTTTACTTAATATATAATATTATTCTTTCAGCAAAAATTGCTCGAAGGAAACAGATCATTACTATTGTTTTGCAAAAACTAGATGTTCACGTCGATTCCACTATTCCTTTTGTTAGAAAAAAAGAAATTTTGTATTGATTGATTTAAGAAAATATTATACAGAAATATCCTTTTTTATATATAAAAAATTCTCATTAATTAAGAAAAGAAGCACATTCGATCTGGTAATAGAATCTAATCCTAAATATTTTTCTAATTAAAATATAGTAATCCCTAATTTATATATAATAGATAATGAGAAATTACTTGATATACTAATAATAGGATTTTTTTAACATCGTACATTGAGATGATGATATATGTCTTACATTTTTTAAATTAATTTTTTATTATATATATATATACTAAAAAACATATGCCATTATCTTACTCTTACTCTCCTACTCATATAGAATTAAAAAATTTACTGTAAGTGTCTTTTAATAATTTTTTGTAGATAATTACAATAGATAGTTACGTTACAAAATTTTCGCCATCTTCACTACAAACAAAGGCTTTTGCAGCCAGAGCAATTCCGTAGAGTTTTTTAACCTTACCAGCTTCTTCTTCATCAATGGGGCGTGAAAACATGTAAGTAGAGAGTGGCAGGCAAGGAGTCTCGGCATGCGGTCAAGAAATGAGCCGCATCTGGGTTCTTGGTCGAAAGCTGAGCAACAATATATAAGCTCTAGGGCCTGCTCGAGAAACGATATAGAACAGTCAACGCTGATTGGAAACATTCAGGACATGGATGAAGGTGCCAGAGCTGTGTAAACTCTAGGCGTATGCAAATGCTTCATCCTCTTTGATCGTCAAATATAACGCAAAAAATTATCAAAAACATAATGTACGATCATACAACAAATTGGGGCTGTATAAACAAGAACAATAAATGATTAAACTATATATAAAGGCATGCAATGGGCTTGTATTTGGCAATCATTCCTCCCTTTCTTTCTTCTTAGGTAAATATTCACTCAATTTGCTTGCGCATATGGCGGATAAAAGTATTGCACCCCAAAACACTTCCACCGAAGGAGAGAAGCAAACCGATGTAGAATTTATTCAAACACTTCCACAAGAGAAAACCTGGAATGGATCTACTCTCTACCAATACCAAGGCTTTTGGTACCCTTTCATGCCAGCCAAGGCTATCATCTCATTTGAAAACCACTTCAAAGCTCGTGAAACTGATATCTTCCTAATCACTCTGCCCAAAGCAGGCAGCACATGGTTGAAGGCTCTTATCTTCTCCATCGTTAACCGCAAGCAATTCCCACTCACGCAAAGCCCTTTGCTCATAACAAGCCCCCATGACCTTGTGCCTTTCATCGAATTCGACATCTACTCAAAAAACCAAACACCTGATCTTGAAAATGGAAAATTTCCTAGCCCAAGAATTCTTTCAACTCACACACCTTATGGTACATTACCTAGTTCCATCCTAGAATCCAATTGTCCCATTGTTTATCTCTGCAGGAACCCTCTCGACCAATTCATCTCGGATTGGCACTTTATTGTGAACCATTTTCCTAAAGATGAACATGTCAAGCCTAGTTCAATAGAGCAAGGTTTTGACATGTTTTGTAAAGGAATCCATGGCTTTGGCCCATTTTGGGAACATATTTTAGGGTATTGGAAAATGAGCTTGGAGACTCCTGAAAGAGTCTTATTTTTGAAATATGAAGATTTGAAGGAGGACATTACTTCTAACCTGAAGAAGCTGGCTGATTTCTTGGGCTACCCTTTGTCAGAGGAGGAAATTAGACAAGGAGTTGTTGAAGAAATATCAAAGCTGTGTAGCTTCGAAAACCTGAAGAATTTGGAAGTGAACAAGTCTGGAAAAAGGCCTGCTGGGCTTAATAATTCATCGTTTTTCAGAGCTGGTAATGTGGGGGATTGGGCAAACTTCTTAACCCCATCAATGGCTGATCGAATGAAGAAACATTTTGAAGAAAAGCTGGGTGATTCAGGCCTTAAGTTTGATTTGTTGAACAAAAAAGAGTAGACAACATTCGAAATCCTGCAAGTGCCCATGAATCTTAATGCTTTTTATTCATTTGTTGCTGTTGTTCTTTGGCTTTCAACCATGTTTCTGTGCAATGCTTTTCCTTCTTAGCTAGGAAGGTTTAAGGTCTAATAATCGTTAAATCAAACCTTATAAATTAGTTGTGAATAAATGATATGTGCCTCTTTAATTTGTTCGAGGTCACATATTCTTTTGATAAGTATTCCTATGGAGGTAATTGAATGAATAATTAATGCTTTTAGTACATTAATTTTTAATTTCCTCAAGATTTGACGTTCTAAAGTTTTATATATTAACCATAAGCATGGCTATTTCGCATTACATATATTTATCATTAAAAGAAGGCAATTAACAAAATAAATAAAAAATACTAAATTAATATCAAACATACATATTTGTGAAATTTGAATATGGTTTGATTCATGAAATGTGATTTTTAATATTTTTTAAGTTTTTCAACAGTTTTAAGGAGAAAATTAGAAAAAATAAAAAATAAAAAAACTCCTCTTTAAAATTATTTTATAATTAAAAAAAAAGTAAAATTTCTTACTCATTTGCTCTCATTTAATTATATTTTTGAATTATATACACAACTCATTTTACTTTAGAAATATAATAATTTTTTATAAAATATTATAAAAATAATTTATTTCTTAACATATTTTAAACAGAAATTATGTTTTTTAGATTAAAATTTGTGGATAACGATAATTACTTAATAGACTAGTATAAATTTAATACTCCACTATTTCCATTTCATAACGTTAGGTTATTTTTATTAAAGACAATCATTGTCCTTATTTTATTTTTTTAAATAAATAAATTAATTAAAAAATATTTGGAATATTTAACTAAAATATATAATTAGTTTACAAAAAAATAAATAAATTATATCTATATTATTATATTTATCATATGTTTTTTACATATTATTTAAAATAATATGATAAAAAAATTTTATTATGTAATTTTATATTCTTATAATCAAACACAAAAATTTTATTTTTCAAAAGTCAATAAATCTCTAAAATCACTCATCCCCTTTCAAAAATATTTTTTCTGTAATCACTTTTTTTATCAAAATCTAAAAGTTCACTAATCAAATGCTCTTTAAAACAAATTATTAGTCATTTATTTAGATGTAAAAGCAGAATGACAATGAAATAAGAATAAAAAATAATTATTAGGGACTTTATTCTAAAAGCATATTGATAAATTTGTTTATTTATATTTTAATATTATTTATAACATTTTAAAATTTTTTCTCAATCAAAAAATTAAAATAAAATTATTTATTTATTTATTATTTTATTATATAATAATATTTATTATATTAAATCAAAAAAATTATTTTAATATTTTAAAATAAAAAATTAAAATGAAAAAAATAAAAAATAGAATGAACATTTTTATACAATCACTAGAATTTTAAGAGAAAAATTAAAAAAAAAATTAGGGACAAAATTGAAAGAGGTGCGGTTGCAATGCATCGATTCTTATCGTACCTTTTAGTGCAATGGAACGAATATTTTTATACAATTAATTGCACGGTTGCTGAATTGGTGATATCCAAATGCGATGGTACTGCGATGAAACGAAAAAAATATCCAAGTCACACTACAAAGACTATTTGGTGGGATCCAAATGATTCCTTACCTGTTTCTTGGTCATGTGATTTCAAGTCAAGATTTCTGGTTTTCATGTATGTCACGATTATCTTTCGAACTCAATCAATAATGGACATAACGGAGGCCCATAAATTGAAGACAACGGCATTTTGCGAGTCTGAAACAACGAAGGTGGTGGTAGTTAGAAATGGTTGGTTTCAGAAAATCTTTCCATTTTAGGAAGTAAAAACGCAAGTACACTAAATCAATTTACAAAATCATCCAATTTTTCTATTTTATATTTAATAAATATTTTAAAATTTTTCATATGAGTTCATTTGATTTTCATCATATAAATGTTATTTATATACGGATATACAGTGCTCTTCCTTTATTGTGTCACGTGATACAATTCCATTTTTCCTTTTCTATTTTTTATTTTTTAGCTTTTATTTTTAATTTTGTGTATATACTTTTTAGATTTTATTAAAATTTTATAAATATTTTATAAATATTTAATTTTTTTCATTTACCGTTTTTTTACTTGTTAATATTTAATTTTTTCTAAAATTACCAAAAAAACTAATAAATATTTTTTAAAAATTGTATTTCTTTTGAATGGAATCTACTTATACCGAATTCTCCCTTTTAATCCTTCTTTTATTTTTCTCTTTTTCTTTTTTTAATTAATACATCTTTTAGATTTTTTTTTTTGTTGGACTCACTTGATATTTAGGGTATACCACATGTTTTTTTTTTTCCTTTTACTCTTCTCTTTTTCTAATTTTTTATATATGTAATAATGTTTTTACAGTTTTTTTGTGAAATGGATTTTTTCTTCTTTTTATTTTTTTAATATTTAACTTTAAAAAAAATAATATCTTTTAAATTATTTACTTTTTTATTATTTTGTTAATTTTATATTGATATATATTTATTATTTTAATAAATTTATCTATCCATACTATTAATTTTGCTCATATTAACTTTTGCTTAACCGTTATTTAAGGAGTTCAAGCGTTTTCTTATGGTTCTTTCTCTTTTTGTTTTTTTTACCTTTTTTTTAGAAAAAAAAAACTTTAATTAGAAAATTTTTTGAAAAAAATATAAATGAAAATATTCATGTCACACCTCAATTTAGTTTTTTTCTTTATCTTTTTTTGTTTTTTTTTAATTAGATAAATTCTATTAAAAATTGATGGAGATGTTCATGTGGCACCCTAATTTAGTTTTTCTATTTGCCTTTTTTTGTTTTTTATTAGATAATTTTATAACAAAAGAAACCGGTTGATCGGGATGTAAAATCATCCGTATCCAACGAGTTTCGATCAACCCCAATTCGATAGGAAATAATTTTTTTTTTAATTAGAATTGTGTTGGGGAAAATTAGGCTTTAAAAAATGAAAGAAGTTAAGTCGATGGCAAGATAATAATGTTTTGCCCTAATCCATTTTGAAGTATATAAAAAAGTATATATTTTATTATTTATGTAATTGTATATTTAAATATGTCTATAATATTAATTAATTTATTATTTGATAATTTAATTTAATTTATTAACTTAATAAAAATATTTTATTTATATATAATTAAGATGTAATTTATATTAAAAGATAGTTTTTTATCCATACAATAAAAAAGTTATAGAATGGAATGTCCACTCGGCATCCCCAATTATACATTAAAAGTTATAAAATTTTAAAAAGCAAAATATTCACATGGCAACCCATTTGATTTTTTTTTTTTTTTTGTAATTTTAATTAGATAGATTTTGTGAATGAAAAATGAGATGTCCATGTGGCACCTCCATTAGCTCCTTTTTGTTTTTTTTTTTTAATTTTTTTGGTTATTTTTTCTTTTTTATTTTTCTTTTTCTTTTTATTTTTATTTTTTTAATTAGATAAATTTTGTTATAAAAAAAATGTTAATAGAAGTGTCCATGTAAAACCCCCGTTTGGTTTTTTTTTTCTTTCATATTTTTTTGTTTTGTTTTTGTATATTTTTCGTTTGATAAATTTTACAACAAAATAAACTGCTTGATAAGAATAACAAAACAATCAGTATCTAATGAGTTTCAATTTATCTCAATTAGATATGAGTAATTTTTAAAATCAAAACCAAATTAGGAAAAGTTGGAGTTTATTAGAAAAATAGGGTCAGGTCATAATCAAGTTTAAGGCACTTTGCCTAGATCCAACTTAGGTATATATAAAAATATATCTTTTATTACTTATTTGTTTTTATATTTTAATGTATGTTTTATATTAATAAAATTATTATTCGATACTTTAATAAAGTTATAACATATATTATATTTATAAAGTTATTATTTGCTGCACATCGATCTCATTTTTTTCCTCTTTTTCTCTTTTTATATTCTTTTTTCTCTATATTTAATAAATAATACTTTTTTTTAGATTTAGAATGAACTCATTTGATATTCTTCATTAAATTTTTTTGTCTATTTTTTTGGTTACTTTTTATTAGATAATTTTGTAAATATGCATGCCAAATAAAATGTCCAAGTGACACCAAGGATTTTGCTTCTTTTTTTTAGTTTTTTACTTTAAAAAAAATTTAGAATTAAAAAATTTTAATTAGTTAAATTTTAAAACAAAATGAGCTGGTTAATAAAAATGATAAAACAATTATTATCCAACAGGTTTTGATTTGTCATGATTGGATATAAGTGTTTTTATTAAAATTAGTATTGGATCAAGACAAGTCGATATGTTTAAAAGAAAAAAGGAGTTGGATCAGCAATAAATTTAAGGTGCTATGCCCAAAGCCACCCCATATTATATTTAAAAGTATATAATTTAGTATTTGTTGAATTTTATATATTTTTTATATTTATATTATATTAATAATATTATTATTTGATATCTTAATTTAAGATATTAAAATTTTAAGTTCAATTGAAATGTCCAAGTGATTCGATGAGCTCCCTTTTTTTCTTTTTTTTTTTCTTTTTGTTTTCTTAATTAAATTAATTTTATGAAAAAAAGGAAACCAATGGAGATTTTTATGTTGCCCTCTTATTTGGCTTTTTTTTCACTTTTTTTTTGTAAATTAGATAAAATTTGCAACAAAAGATAATGATTAATAGAGATGACAAAATAATTTGTATTCGACGGGTTTCGATCCAATCTAATTCGATAAGGGGTTTTTTTTTTTAAATTAGGATTGAATTGGGATAGGTCAGATTTTTTAAGAGAAATCAAATCGGATCAAAAGCGTGTTTAGAGTACTTTGTCATAATGTATTTTGAGGTATATCAAGTGCTTTGTCCCAGTGTATTTTGAGGTATATAGAAAAATATATATTATTAATTTAATTTAATTTAATATTTATATATAGATTAATAAAATTATTATTTAATATCTTAATTTTAAA